GCATAAGAAGATCCCATATCTTCAATGCGGATGACAGACAGAATAATAAATTGTGTTATATAAGAACTGATAATAGAACCGGTTTCATATACATTCTTGGACACAAAATTCCTACCTGCGATGCATACGATTCCTCAATTTGTAATAATTCGAAGAATTTATCGACATATTTTGATAATAAATTAATCGGGAGATCAGACTCCGTTATCTATAAATAAACCCAATAAATCCGTTACCAACCACAAAGACATTAAGAGCAATCAATAATAGAAGGTCGTGCGAAGACTAACTTCATTCTCAAGCGTCCTTTCTCCTACATCCGTATTATGTATTCCACGAATATCGCTCTGTCTCCTGGTAGCTATAAATGTTGCTAAATCGGTAATCTTCTGCTCTTTCAGTGTCGTTCTATCAGAATCCATTACTAGCTCTTTCCCGAGCACAAATAATCTGACCAGTGAAGGTCGACTTACACCAAGGCGAGCGGCTACTTTTTGTCGTAAAGCAAAGACAGTATCGCTCGTGTGAATCTGGAGATCGAACATTTGAGACTATCATCGTTTACAAAGGCAAGCATGCATCAGTTATGAGACATTATAGAGTGATTTGCGATAGATAGATAATTTCTTAACCTACCGCCCCAGGACCGTTGTTGTTGATTTTAATAGTAATCAGTTCCCCATCATTAAGCATGCCATGTCGCTTCCTATTCTTGCGATCAATTTCACTAGAATGATACTTTACGTCGAAATAGTCCATAAAATATTTTAACAATTCTAAGCATCTCTTGAATGCCAATGCATCTTTTTCTTTCTTATAATACGGTATTGGCGATAGTGCATTATCTGCAGAAACCTCGCAGTGATTAGATGAGGGCGGATCAACCCCAGTCATCCTTGTAAGCGTTGAGGATAATGACAAGCCATTAGCTGCATCAAATAGATGCGACACACATTTGTCGACTAACGCTTCTCGATTTTGGCGTGCAATTGCGATATAGTTGTCCAGTAAAAGGTCAGTCTATTTAAGAATCACAATTGAGTCTGATGTTGGAATCATCATATTACGTAATGTCAAATCGTTGATTTAAATTGCTTACGTTCATATACAAGTGCACCAAGAATGCGACTGCTTCTTTCCCAACTGCCTCATCCTCAGCATTAAGTGCAATGTTCCAAATAAGCTCAATACCAATCAATTCGTCACATATGTATATATTTTGTGGTTGAGGCGTGTATGTCTACCCACAAACATGACAAAATGTTAACCACTCACACCAATAGAACATTCGAATTGAAATAATTTTTCGTCTCTTACCATTCTTATTCTGTCGTTCTTAACATTAACCTTTACAAGACATGTCTTCGCGTACTTCAGAGCATTTTCAGAGAAATACTGCACATCGAGTTGTGGCAAACGGTCATGGAAAAAGTGATAATGAAACAACTCATAGTTGGATATACTCTCCAAACATGCAAATGCCTCGTCTCTTTCACTCCTGCCAATTGGATCAGCGATCAGGCAATCCCAGACTATATCTGTTTGATCAATAGAGGTGAAGAATTTTACTAAATCTGCATTTGCCATCCATTGTAAGAATTGTAAACGTCCTTGTAATTGATCCTTCAATATTGCAACTCGTGCTGGGGATAAGTTGGCAGTGGGAGATTGTTGACCACTCGACGGGGACATCTGATCTGTTTGGGAATAAAAAATGATTAAAATGATTGTTTTATATAACTGATAAACATATTAAACATTATATTTGGACTAAAGATGCAAACCAATATCCATACTAGTGCCATATCCACGTCGGTCTGTGAGTGATTTGATGGTACTTGTCCAATGAGTTAAATCGGATAGAAACAAATCCGTTAAATTGGCCAATTGGCGATAATATTCGGCCGTCGTGTATGAACTAGAAAGCGAAGAGCCTATAATATAGGTGAGTTCTTGAATAAATTATTCTGATACCGAAATAATCAAAAAATGATTTCCAAATGGTAGAATACTCACTAAAAATCCTTAGCATAACTCTAAACGCCCACACTGTTCCCGGATGATGATTCTTGACATCCTCGATACACATTAGTAATAACTGATCTCTTTGTTCTTGTATTAATCCCCGCTGTAATATGGTGTTTAACAATTGTGCCACACCTTGTATGAGATCTTGATCGATAGTGGTAGCAGATGAGGCGACGGATGTGGGTTTTGGCGATAACAGCTCAGAGTTTATCAGTATTGGAAGAGGTAAAGACGAATCCCGAAGTATATGCCATAACAATAATAATGCTTCGAATAATACATCATGAATAGCCTATTAAAAGTTTCTCGTTAACAAATGTGTATGTATATTGTTTAAGTAAAATACATGTTATACTTACAGAAGTAGAACGTGATGGCGACGTATGGTCGATTAAAGATACAACCAATGCTTTTATTAGTGAAAATGTTTGTGACTCAATGAAGCTCATTGGCATCAACCGTATCTTCTTGAACAGATACGACTTGTTTTCCAGAGTTAATATGTCAGCTATCTCGTGTAATACGTGACATACACCGTGTACTATACTTCGATGTTGATTGCCCTCAACTGGTGACCAAATGACATCCAATTCGACAGATGTTAGTGCTTCCGCATTTATAAGGAAAGCAATTATTTCTGTTGATCGTTGGACTATTTCAAGATGAATATTGGGTCCATAAATATATTCTAGTATTCCGTCTTTACGCAATTTTTCAGTCAGCCGACTGACAAACACAAATTGATATACGTCAGTATCGTAAGTGGTCTATGATCGATCAAATCAATAAGACTAATAACATTAAAACATACCGAATGATCCAATCTGATAAAGGTATTGTTTCCACTGAACCCGTTTCCTCGTCAGTTTCGATACTCAGAGCACCTTTATCTCCAATGACTTTTCGTCTGCTTCTTCTTAACAACTTTGCTTGTTTATAACCATAACCTAACACATCCTTTATTATGTTCAAGCCTGCTAACCGAAGGTCTAATATAAAACACTTCAACAAACGATTAGCAATTTCCAGTCTCATAAATGAGGTTACTAGTATCTGCTTTCCATCAGGAATTTCATGATAACCAATAAACTCATTATCATCATCTTCTTCATCGGATGTAACCATGCCTTCATAAGTTCTGTTGACGTCACGCGTTATACCAGTGACAGTAGATGGAAGACTTATAACCATATTATGAACCATGTGAATAACATTGATAAGTGTCTTACGATCAAGACGATTAAATAATTCGTCTGGGATTTTTAGTATCTGCTCTTGAACACAGGTTGCTATTTTGAAAACACATTCTCTGTAATCGTTGCCTCCAAAGTTTGTCACAACGAAGCTACCGATCTACGGATGTGTAGATTTTCAATGTTAGGTAGACAAGCGGGTTATAAAGTAACTGCACACTTCTTGTAACCACGCTCCAATTCCACCTTTTAACAGTCAACTCACCCTATGAATCACTCTGATTAAATAGTACATATCTTTTAGTTCAACTTTCAAACGAGGGTCTGACTGTGAACAACCCAAACCACAGAGCACGGCTCCTAATCCACCAGTACGAGTGAAATGATTGATGCTCTCAATTTGATACTGAGACATGCGATGCTCCATCTATAATGATAATGTCAATTCAAGGTTAGCACAGAGACACTTTCCTAAAATGAGTTTGAGTTTTACCGACCGGATCAGCATTGATAATATCATTCGTATTGTCTTCGTATTCCAAAGCCTACAACCATGGAATAAACATTATTAATACATGTGCTCACATCGTACGTCTCGCAGCCATCAAATACCTACTCCTAGTCCCCTAACAACTTCATATCTCCCATCAAATCGACGATAAAAAGGCGCATGGTCATCTCCGAGAATACGATATACTGCATCATGCATCTCATCAGACAGATGAAACTCTCCGTCTTCGACGCCAGCGTATTCAAATTTAAGAAGAATTCGGATATATATCTCGAGTATCTTGTTGAAAAAGTTGTGGATTGAACGACCAGTTTGAAGCATATGTGCTGGAGTGATGTCGGTATATCTTCATGATAAATGAAAGAGTATTATTAAGCAATATGAGATCGTTGAATGAGAATCTTCAACTGCGTCTAATTTGTATATAGTTTATATAATATTGATGAATCATGGTTCATAGACATATGCGTATATATATACCCTCGATTGAGTAATGCTTGGGCATATTTTGGTAGCCATTCTTTTATGAAAGTAGTCGCAGCGTCTCGATTACCATCCCAACTCCCGCGTTTAGTTAGCGCTGATAGGAGACTATCAGCGAAACCAACAAGTTTATTGACCGATTTAGGGGAAACGGCTGATTGATTACAATACACATAAATAGAGAAAATGCAATGATAATCAGTCTCGTGTGTGCAAATGATTACAACTCTGCTATCTGAACAGACAACAAAAATGCTGCAATAATATTAATAAGCTGCAACAAGCGCACATTCTCTTAGTTCTCGATAGATTTCCTCAAGATCAATAGGCTGGTCCTCTTCTATACGTCGACGTGTGTTCATCGGTATAGACTGCGAATGTCGACGTCGTGGAGTTAGATCTCGATCGTCTGAATCATCATCTGGCTCATCGGACGCATTTTCTACATCTTCTTCGGAAGAAGATGTTACAGCTCGCTTATCCGTTCGAGATTTGCGAGCGCGAGATGCCAATTGGGTGTCCGGCGGTAATGCAATTTTTTTCCTAGGATGAGGTTCATTCTCTCCACGAGGGATGCGAGTAATTGGCTTGGTTAAACGTCTTACTTCATCGTCTTCGTCGTCCTCGTCATCTTCATCTTCTTCATCTTCTTCATCGTCATCTTCTTCTTGTTCATCTACCTCATCTTGCTCGTCCTGCTCGTCCTGATCATCTCGTATTTCTTCATCGGCTTCCTCAACATCAGGATCTTCGTCAATGTCACTACTGCTAGAAGTGTTCTCTGCAGATGAAGGTTGCCGATAAGCTGGATCAGATTTGTCAATGATAGCATCAGAAGGTATGTCATTTGGTTTATCGAGAGCATTCATTTTTTCTTCATTGATATCTGGCATTGAAGTTTTTTGGGTTAGTATTAAATGGTCAGAATGCTCATTTCCGTCGTGACTATGTTTGTCTTCCAGTTCGAGATTTTCCCGGTCTACGGGGAGGTTCTGTGACATTATATACGAATTATTATGGTTATTAAAGAAGAAAGTGAATAGGTTAGTCCGTGCTGCGGATAGCAAACACGAGCTGGTCGTTGCGTTAGCGTAAAATTTTATCCTTTTTCTGTGAATGATAGATATAACAAGACACGTGTTGTTTGAAGGTATAATTATAATGCCGTTAGTGAGTGGAGAAGGTTCAGCTATTGTAATATTCCACTCGTGACTTGTGTGTATAGTACCGATACTGGGGTATGACGAACTGGGGAAACCGCGTTAGTAAACCTATTTTTAAACGACAAGAATGTGAAGTTCAGAGACTTACAGGTCAATTTGCTGAAGTATGTTTTCAGTTAGTTATTGCGTCATCGTTACTCATGGACTGTTCGGCACCATTCTCCGACCCTCTCTATCAGATGTTTTGCTGACAACGATCATAATAGGCTGACAAATTCAGGCGTGACTAAACCCGAATTATGCCCCGGGCCAATGAAAGGATTCGGATTGGATGAAAAATCAAAAAAACTTTTTTGATATATACTTAACGTTAGTCTTTTATGGAGTTAATATAGATAATATTGGCTGACAATGGTGCAATTACCAAATTAGCGATAGTGATTAATCGTGCGTTTAAGCTTTTTTATAAATTCTCGGCTTATTATTAAATAACGTCATGTGAATTATAAAATTTATTATAATTACGAAAAAATGTAAATTATTCGTCAAAAATGTCATTCATTGCCGCAAGCGGTCGTAACACACAATATAAATACAAGCCACACCCCACCCAAACTTTCAATCGTGTACAAAAATGACTTTATAATTCTCTAAAATAGTCTCGACGACCCTGCATTGCCAGCTCATGTCATCCAATCCACCATTGTCAACCACTATTGATGCCATGCCCTGCATTGGTATGGTAGAGGCTGTTGGATTGGGGATAGCTGGACTGCCCATGAGCGTTGGTCCAAATACAATACCAAGATTCTTAACACCCATTTTATTTGACTCTTCATTGGCTACAATTCTATTCAAACGCGAAAATGTCAGTCATACATATTATGTAAAACGATAATACAGGAATAAACATACTTGTTTAAATGTCCCATCAAATACTTTAGCGTGCTGTAATTTGGATCGGGAAGAGTATTGACAAGTTCATGTAATGTAATCACCCGCAACTTCTTGTCTTCGAGTTCTATCAATATGATATACCAAATAAGCAGATAGATACATAATTCTACTTCAAAATTTTTATCGTACTTACTTGCTGCATTGATAAAGTCATTACATTGTGCACGAACAAATAGTGGGTCAGGCAATTCTCTAAACCACATCTTCAAGACACTTGCAACATTGTTTATATCTGCAATATGTTCAGAATTATCCAGATCTACAGTTTCGGCATCTGGGGGGGGGGGGAATTCGAATATGTTAATCGTGACATTAGTGCTAAAACAAAAGATATTGTAGATCAGACTTACTCCTATTAAACAGTGTCTTCAACTTCATTATTTGCGGGGTCGATCCGGATACTCGATACATCCCTTTGTTATAGAGACCTATTCCAGCAAAAAGTTGACACGTTATTTGGTTTTCAGATCAGCCGACGTCCAACATTCTCATCAACTTTCTCTGTCTCACCATATTTTTCAATGGCTTCAGCACATTTTACTAGTATCATTGGGACATCCTGTTTATCCCTTGCCATTTGGAAGGCCAGATCTACCCCAAATATAATCTTGGGATTTACAATACTTTGTGCAACTTCAGACTACGACAGAGTAGACATATTTAGTTACATGATCTCAAATTCAATGACTATCAATAATTAAGCATAGTTCCACTATACAAACCATATTATACTCATTATATTCAATATTATGACGCTGAAGCTTCTTTGATTTGGTACCACAAGACGTTACGTAAGATTGGAAGTCCTCTTCATTATTAATTTGTTCAATCATTTTACGCATGGAAAATCCTAACAATCATCCATAAACAAATATCAATTCTTCTCTAGCAAAATAAAACTTTTTTGACTCGCAAACTTAATTCATACTCTACGTGTTGTATTGCATAATTACCATCTTCTGGATTGATAGGGTTTATAACCAATGCCTCGCTTACCATGGTATTTTCATAGAGGTAGGAATAGCGTGCTAGATTGTATTGCAGTGCTGCATCGCACTCATCCGCCACATCTTTTAATGACTAAACAAGAACCATTCATGAGTAAAATGAAAGTAGTATAGATATACTGAAATGAAACTTACTGTTATCATTCGTGGAAGATGGACATTATAATACTCATTACGCAATGAATTAGTATTAGACAACTGTAATTTATAGTTTTCATTTGCTGTCGCTGCTTTCTGACGTGCATCTTCCTCTTGTTTCCCCAGCTACGATAATTGATATTAAGAATTTAAGATACGCAAATGGATACATGAAATATCATTTATGTTGAATACCTGAGTGGGCGACTTTGGTTTATTATTAAATATAGCTTTTGTGAGTGTCCTTTTGGAATTCGGAACAATATCCCCATTTTTCTCTAATAAAGAGCGCTCCCAGTCTTCACTCTGGCTTTCGTATTTGTACTTGGCCTGCAAACAAGAGAGACATGAGTTCAGTTTCTCCAACCTTTACCATGACTTGGGACACTAACATTAAACTATCATTCACCTTCTCCAGTGATTGTTCTGTTTCTTGGATTGCTCGTTCGTATTTCTGTCCTGCGTCTTTCATCTGTTCCAACAGAGTCGCACCCCATTCTTCAATCATAAAGGGAACGCTTCGACACAAATCATTAGATCTTTGTCGTTTAACCAGCTGTAACTTACATTCTTTCTGCCTTTATCTGTATCTTTATGTTGATAAGTAAGATCGTCGGCTATTTCCTGAATAGCAGCAGCGAACTTTATCCTATTTTCACCAATTATCTCATGAAGTCGCAGTATATTATACCAATTATCGCCATATGTACTGAGAGTAAATAAATATATAATTATGTGAATGATGGGAATACCACTGCATAATTGGTTGGATGTAAAATAAACTTACCCTCGCTTGCTATCACTGTTATTACAACTCTCTTGCGTGCCACGAGACAGCTTAAGCATCGAACGCCCATATTCATCTTCAATCATGGCTCTCTTTTTCAAAAAATTGGCCGTTTCCTACAAAAAAGAACCCCACCGTATGACTTGACATTTTTCCACATAGCAAAAGCATCGTCTATATACATTGATACACACCTTACATGACTGTGCATCCTGCTTGACTCGCTCTAGTATAACGTTCAATCCTCCCTTTACGAAGAGAAACGAAAACATGATAAACCGCAGTCAGCTTTCATTGCATTCACTGTTACTCTTTCTTCCATCTATTATCCACTAAAAAAAAAGAAAAAAGAGCTTTCATACATCGATATCGCACAAGTACTTGACAAGCCCTTGCGGATCTGCAGCCCGTTCAGCTACGTCTGACGATACGCTCTCTAGATCATTAGTAGCATTAGTATCAACAGTTCGAAACGAATTAAGCGAAACTGCGTCTGCTTCCGTATTGCTTTCAGGTATGGTAAGCGAAGCGAATGTCTGTTCGGTTTGGGGAGATATAACTTTATCCTGTGAAGGAATGAACATTGTCGTAGGCCGCGCTTTGCGCGGCGATTGCGGTGTTGCCAGCGGATTGTTCGGTGGGACTATTGGGAGAGTGGAAACAGTGAGTGATTGGGCTTTGCGCGGACGGTCTGTTCGTGACATTTCTTTTTCTGTGGTAAGCATTTATAGAAATTGGTTTATTTTCTCGGATCAGAAGTCGTTGACTGAAAAGTCTATGTTTCACTCAGTAGAATACCATTCACGGATTGTGGGAGTTTTACGTGTGTGACTGATCAGGTGACTGTGAAATGACAAAATTAAAATCGTGGGACACAAAAAAAAGCAAATTTTATATAGACAAAACATGTCCAAGGAGAAATTCGAAGACTTGGAATTGCTCCAAACACAATTGAGTGTATCTCTTGGGCTGATTCGATCGACTGTAAACGACTGGCTGCCTCCTCCGAAACCCGGTGAAGAGGAAGAAGAAGACGTTAAGGATGATACGGACGAGTTATTGGTAGCTAGAGGAGGTTCTTTGTCTAATCAAGGTTTAAGGTATTTACTTATGTAATGAAATAAAACGACTTATGTAATGAAATAAAATGATGCCTTTTCAATTGCTGTAAATCACATGTAATTAACGTCATTTACGCATACAATAGTGTTTTGGTTGGTAAGCGCATCGCCGAGAGCAGATTAAAACGAAAACTGACAGCTACACGGACACACACCGTGCATGACAATTACAATAGCAAAGAGTCACTGCAGCAAGATGTTGACGACGAGGATGAAGATAGCAAGACATTGTCTACAGCTTCAAAGAGACCAAGGCAATCTGGTATATCGGTGGTGAACTCTCCCTTGTTAACTGATATTTCGCAGAACACCAAAGCCGAGAATGAAGACCAAATAAACAGTAGCGCCGTAAACAGAGACTTTTTCTCGCTATACATGTCCGAACGAGAAACAAAGAAGAAAAAGAAGAAAAAGAAAAAGCAAAAGCAAAAACAGAACAAAGATATTGACGATCAAACTTTAAGAACTGCCATTAGTGGAGTCGCTGATGAGCAGCAGGAACGGACGAGCGATAACGATAATAACAATGAGAAAGATACGCCAATTGAGAACAATAGCGAGGCAACAAGTAATACTACCAGAGCTGATTATAGAGAATTGATGCAGAGAGCGTTGAAGTTTTCCGCAACTAAATCGGTATCGAAATCAACTTCCAAGTCGTAAAATCGGTTAGGTTTCCATAAGTTTGACATTCTTTATCGTTGACATCGTCCGCTAATACTAAGAGCCGGTTTGTTACACAACATGTTAATTGTACGACGCTGGGGTTTTATATCATAATATCGGCTGTTCGGCATTATAGTTCGTATTAGCACTTCCCTCTGCATATTCCCTATGAGTTATTATAACCAAATGAAAACGATCTCTTTGCTTTTGCTTCTGCTTCTGGGTCTATTGGCGACCAGTGTTACTGCAGATTTGGTAAGCCAGAAACCTATTGAAGGAGGCTCGAAAAACACTGGTGAGGGAACTCTCTGGACACTATGTGGGGATCCGTCGACGCACATGTTGAAAGCCTACGATGGAGGGGTTTCCATTACGCCTCTTCAGCCGAGAGTTGGGGAGGACCTCAACATAAAAGTAAACGGGTTTCTGGGTAAGTATGCATGCGATTGCAGTGCCAAGTGAGAAGTCTCTTATTTATGACCCCGATGCTAACCTTACTTTGCACTCGTACATTGCCAGCATCGGATGTTCCTTCAGGAAAAATTAAATTGAGTTTGAAGTTAATGAATTTCATAAAGCTGACTAAGAGTCTTGACCTGTGTGAGACTCTTGATAGTGATCGTATCCGTGGTACTTCATGCCCCTTCAATAAAGGAGATTTTGCTTTGGATGTCGCCGGTAAGTAGTCGAGGCAAGCAAACTCTCTTTATTCAGTTTGCGTTAATGAAGTCTTTTCGATTGTAATTAATACGGAGGTTCTCTTCTAATACCAATATCCTCCCCCATCTTTTTTTTTTAGCTACAATTCCCAATGACGTTCCCAAAGTGCCAATTAACGGTGATATTATCATTGCGGATTCTGAAGGCCGAACAGTGACTTGCATCCATATTAAGCTGAGACTATTATAACCTTGATCGTCACCTTTGTAATGATTCGCCGATTACCAACCGAGGAAGTTTGTAGCAATAGTATCTTCATTGCATATTATCACTCATGTCTTTTTTAATTTTTTTTCCTAGCTCTTGTACAACAATATATAACACTAATAGTACTCCCGTTGTATTTTTACTCGAATTTCATAAAGACTATTTCGAACTTATAATTGCGTAACAAACCAGAAAAGAGCACACGATAGAATTATTCAATATTTCATTGCATTTTTATGTGTAAACTGATACAATATAAGCACATAAAATATATGACGACTGTTGAACCCACACCCACACCCATTTTATTAGTTAAACGACAACAGAATTTTCATAAATGCAATATTAGAATTAGAAAAATATGATACACTGTGTTAGGAAAAATTCAACACCAGCTATTGATGCATCCATGGTAAGATTCAAACTGTACATACAAAACAAAGATCTTTTTGCATAATTTCAAGTAAAGCAATTTTTCGTTCATCTCATAATAAGAAAACTGTTCATAGTCATTCACCCGTATCCTCATCTTCCTCAAGGATTGTGAAAAGTAGTTTAGAAGCATTCGGCTTCTCAACTTTGTTATAAGAAATGACATCTTTCTCAACAAGGTTGACCTCAGGTTCCTCGGCGATCGTACCGAGAGTTAACAGCGGCTGGGTTCTCTTACGATTCGAATTTGCTTTGTATGCGATCGTATCTCGAGTGAGACGCCGAACTGATGGAGTAAACACAAATGAGCAAAGAGTTCCTGTGCCATTAACCGCAAATTCTCTTTGAGTGTATCTAGAGATACAATCACCTCTCTCAGAAATACAGCCGAGCGGAGAGTCGCCTACACGACTATTTTGAACGCCGTGAGCTTCATTGGCTGTCATAATCACTTTGGTCCAGCTCTTTACATTATCCCTAGTCGCACCAGAGATAATGCAAGACGAAATTCGGTTCTTGTTTGATGTGGCTTCTACTTGTAGATCCGATACATCGCTATTACTAAGCCCCGTTTTAGGTAGATCATCGACGCTTTTCGCTCTTTTTTTCGTTCCGTTATTGAGACCTCCTCGAGCACGATATAAATCACAAGCGGGATAACTACAGATTGCTATTGTTGCTAGAACCATTGTTGCTATAACGATGGTGCATTTATCTGAGTTTAATATTTGGAAACAAGCTAGCATTGTGGATTTACTAAGCTGGAAATAAGCAACAGCGTATCGAAATAAGACAAATATGCTATAATAAATCATATTACATAGTATCTTCTGATCTCTTTGTTAGCTTTGTTGAGTGTTTACCTGATCTCGGCAATAAAATTAGATGTATTATCCTATAAGCAGCTGGTTGATAAGACCAACAGTTAGTGAAATTAAGCGTCGCAGGAAACAAGCATTCTGAAACACTAATAACCTGGCTCGTTTCGGTCTCGCCCGAGTGAGCGGCTATTAGCGAGAAACAATACTCCAACGTGTACCTGTATGGAGCAGAGTGGCTATTTGTAAAAACTGACGGTAGATTTTTTCTTTTTCTGCGCCAAGTCGATAGACAGGATCCGGGACGAAAAAAACAGTATTTTTTAAGCCGTCAGGTATTCCACGCGATCTTTATATCTCTGACATCGTGAGAATTGCTAATTTTGAATGGTAGCGTAACACATGGATGATCGGGTGCTAGCAAATGAAATGGCCTGGTCCCCCAATTACATTGCAACCTTCTCATTTGCTAAGTCTTAAAATCGAAAAACGCAAGATGCCCAAGCATAACTTAAACCCAGGCAAATTTTACTAGCGACCGAACTGCACGTCCATCAACTAGCTTTGTGTAGTATGACGAGAGCCCAGGAATTGGTTCAAAGAAACCCGTTTCCATAACTGAGTTTTCCATAATTGGTTTGAGAAGAACTCGTCGAAACGAATTTCCGGATTTTGATAGTAACACATCCCTTGTACTGTGTGATGTTTTCATGCCTTTTATTGTTTGTGACCTGTTTGTTATTAATAAGATAATACAGTGAAAAGGCACGTGTGACGTATTCTGCAGCGGCTTTGTTTCACCAGCAGTGCGAATATTGACAATGATGGTAAGTGCTATGCAGTCAACCTAGCCTATTTGCTGATAGTATACAGTATAATTTTGGTGAGTGAACGACACAGTGCACTTTCAGGGGTGGGGGGTGATTACCCACAAGCACCCGTAGTGACAAACTGTATTCACTGTTTGCTGATTATACACAAGTTAGCAAGCAGTCAAGGTCTTTTGACGATGATCCGATCTGTATTAGAACGGAAGGTGTTGAATATGAAGAGCATGTAGTAGTAACATTGGAGAATATCGGTAGAAACAAGGAGAACGAAAGCAAGACCAAACACATTTTTTCCCCATGGATGCTGATTAGATTGTGAAATACAAATTTATAATCCGTATACTCAGGGATGGAGCAGTTAATATAAGTCAGTCTAGGTGTGAATACAGTAATCCGTTCGTATGCTGAAGTTGATAACCGATAACTTACAACTTCACGCTTCAATGAATCTACATTTGCTTTTGCCAATCTCAATCGAAGAAATTATGCTGTTGATGCCTCCCTAACAAAGGATAGATACCCTGTAAAGATTGTAGCCACCAAATTTTCTGTTTCCGTGACAGAGAAGTGCTTGGCATTGTGATAGTTGTATATTCATAGACTATATTAGCAAGTTAGTATATTAATATTAATAATTGTTCAGACTGTTCAATAAATTGACCAGAACGTTCGATTCCACAAAAGGGTGGGTTCATCAATTTTGCGGTTGAAATCTATGGATTAATAAATTATCGGAACAAACAAATGGGCACAATCCATTCACAAGAATGCAAATACTAGTGAAAACCCGAATTGTTTATCGATATAAGAACCCTTTGATATAAGAAAGGAATTTGTTGAGCCCAACCACTTTCTCGTTGCCTCCAGCTTTCTCTACTTCAAAAGCTTCAAATTTTCTTAAACGCTCTTTCCCTGAGTTTGATTTAATATAGGCTTTACTTTTTCCAATCAGGATAGAATCTCTAGTAAGAGCATAACCATTATCCATAACGGTCGATATCCAATTTTTGCTGGTTCCCTTAGCCGTTTAGTTCTCAATTGGATAATTAAAGGTTAAGTTTTCGCTGACATATTTTGCTGCTTTTGTTCAATAGTTAACGTTGCGTAAGGCTTTCTTCTCGATCGGGACATTTTGAGAAATTTTATTAATTAACATTAATCAGAAAATACATAAATGGAAATGATTTCCGATCGGTTGATATTTGTCACAGCTGATGCTGAAATACGGCTGAAGCTGAAACCATGACCTTTCATTGGCTGATCAGATTTTATTCTCTAATACCATTGGTTAGTTTCAGCTTCAGCGAGATTTCAGCATCAGCTCTCACAATATTTATTAACGGTTTGTCTGGCAAAGTGTTTTCGAAAGCTTTTGAACATGGTGCGCTGCATTCTCTATGAAAATTAGTGTACAATAACCACAACAAACATACCATTTCTTAAATTCTTACCAAGAAAGCAATGTACTCCTCCATAGCATCCATTGCTCTGCACAAATCATCCACAACAAGAGGTACCTTTAGTCACCGAACATTTCACAAATTTGGATAGGAAGTGTGTTTTCCGAAAAAACATGTAAAATCAGGGGTTGGAATCACATTCGAACACCTGACACAGTTATAACAAAGTTTCACCCGGTAAAATATTATAATATTATAGTTTCTTCTTACAACGCGCATAGTTTCTTCCGTTGAAACTAGACGCTGGTATGGCCATGCTTATAATAATAGCAACTTTCGTAGCCTAATAAGTGTTTCTTATCTCCAATGCTGGAATGTATAAAAGGATTTGAGGAATAACTTGGCAGGCAGGTGAGAGGACTTTGAGATAACTAACCAAAAACAAAACTCTGAAGAGTTCTACTTACAAACAACTTTTTTAATTATTAACACCACTTTGTCTATTACAGCAACCGTTTTCGAGAAAAGAGGGAAGAAAGATTTCGTAAGTGGTACACATATATAGTATATGGGATAAAGCGAGAGGGCAATGCGAAACCTGAGAGACTATTTTGTTAGCAGGCCCACTAAAGTTCCCTTATATGCTTTGAAATACAACTTGCTGCTACAACTACCAAGAGTTTACGTAAATACTAACTGTCTTGGCTGTCAGTAATGTATAACATTACCATGTAAGCTTCCCACTGCGGTACCTAGTCATGAAGAGTCATGAAGAAATGTGCCTCTGACTAACCTCTTTCACTATTACCTTCATATTATGATAGTGTATTGAGAAATTGGGTATACCGTACATAATATGTATATTATAATGGTCTCGAAAACGCAAAATCGATTTCGTCATTAATCAGCACTAAGACAACAAACAACCTAACTGTTGCCAACGTGTGGGCAATAAATTGACCCAGAATATTAAGTACGATTTGAATTTGGATAAACCGATTGGCTTGATCGTTTTCGCGTTTTCGAAAAATCAAGCAGATCGTTATATGTAAACTCAAAATCGTACTTAATATTGTTACGGTCGGGAATAAAATGGGGTTTTGGGAGAGCGATTTATCTTTCACGTAGGTGTGTTCGCCGACTGGGGGATGTTATCAGGCTTAGCTCGTACTATCGCCCTTACTACGATAGTTGTGCAATTAAGACTGAATTAAGCCTACAAGTGATACCTATTAATTATGCGCCTTGCGCGATGCAGTAAAATCGCCACCTGAAGAATTACTTCGAGTTATCCATCTGTTTTATGATGGACACGATACAAGATAACTGTACCTGAAGTTTAGTTTAAGAATGAAATTACATGAAGAAAAGCAGATAAAGCATTATGAATATATATAATTATTGTGAAATTGACCCGAACGGGACATTTTAATTTTGTTTCCATCATTTTGTGATGCAATAAATCATTAGTATATCTTTTTTTAACTGTGTATGAGCAAGTATCGTATGGTGTTATCTGATTTTTCTACGAGTAAAATATCTTCTCAAAAAAGTACCAGATATGGAGGAACTTGATTTTAAATGCACACTGAAATAAACTTGCGAAAAACTTTAACTAAGATTTCTTAATGCACGTTCCATGTAATAAAAGGTTTATTTTGTGGAGTGCGATTTGTGTTCAGTTCCGCTTCAGTTTCAGGTGCGATTCGACGTCGTTTTCCCTTCGTATTTATCGAGAACAATTTTTTTACCACCTTCTCCGTTTCAAGCGACTTTCTCTATACATTTGATCCATCAGTTTGATATGGGGCGTGCTGCAACAAAACCAGACAAAGTGAACATTTGACTATGTGAGTAAAAATGGCAGGAAAAATTAACCAGTGACTGATGACAGTTTTGCTTTAGTGGCAAAGCTGTCGTTAAGACATAAGTTTGGAGACTGTCTTAACTTTGTTATGGCAAATATGACTGAAATTTATTATAACATTACCTCTATATATAAAAATACAATATGAAACTAATTTATATCAACTCCACTATGAAACCCAAGAATTACAGCATCCCATCAAGGCCTCCGCTGATGGAGCAACCTATCAACGAAAGATCGTTCCTTATAGTCTTGATAGAAGCCGCTTAAGTGCATTGATTGAACTTTGATTCGCATTTTGCTTTTTAAAGAGTCAAACAATGTAGAAATAATTCAATTTTTTCGTAAGCATAAATTTTATTATTTCGATTCCTGAATGCGCGCTCTTGAAATATAAATAATATAAAAGCACCAGAGTGATTGCATGGGAGGAAAATACTCGGACCCAAAGCCATTAATGAGTATAACCTATTCAATAGTCACTCTATACTACATTTCATTATTATTAATATCTTTGTCCTCTATTTCTTTATCCATTCTTCGATAGCTTCTATTGTTTTTTTCCTCGGATTTGTTCTTCTTTGGTAGAAACTTTTCAATGTGGAGGCTGCAATGCCTTTTTCTTCGCGCAATTTGCGGATTTCTGTTGTCATTTGATCAAATAAAAAATTCGGATCCAGCCCAGCCTTTTTCTCAAATAAACTTTTAAAGTTCTTCCACAGTTTTTCGACGTCTGGTAAGTAACTTTATTCGCCGAATGGTTTGTTATTATGCCTTTTTTTAGGCTCGATTAAATTGAAAAATTTATTTTGATTTATGTCGTAAAGTTTATTTTTGTGGAGTTTATAATAAAGCATGAAGCCAAGGAGAACTCCGATCAGTAATCCGCAATAAAATTCACTGGTAAAAATGGGCATTTTCAAATTGTTCAAGTCAAAAGTGATCAGGTAGTTTTTATGATTGATTTTGCGATTAATTGTGGTATGAATGTAGAGAGATTCTGACGGTCTTGCTTTATGTAGTAATCATAAAAGGCAGACTTGAATTAATAGTTTATTAAAATCCTAGACAAAGACTGTTTGATTTACCTCCGAACCCTTTTTTTCTTTGACAATAAACAGGATTACTTCAAACTCATAAAGCACACCTTTATGGCAGTATAACACTCACTAATTAGTATTAGAACTTATTACAAGTGGCTCTCGATATAAGAAACTTTCGATATAAGAAGGTATTTTTGCTGGACCCGATTTAAAATCTTATAACAAATGACTCTCGTTATAAGAGATTTTCGATATAAGAAAGGAATTTGTTGGCCCCGATCACTTTCTTATATCGAGAGCCACTTGTGTTATTGTGTGACAATTGATACTATTCGTACGACAAGTTAAAATCGGACAATCTGATTTGATGCATGCAATTGTTCCACAACGTGATATGCTCCATGATACGCAGCAAGATATAAGCGCGCCAATCATTCTTTGTCCAATTCATAACGGAGAATGTAAATTCACAGGCGATGAAATCCTTAAAGCATACCAAGAGCAGCAAGGTAAGCAAGCAATGAATACGCGTTTAATGGGAGGATAGTCGGAATGCATTGCGACATGCATTGGGGTTGGAACGTAGAGCAGAGAGCACAGCTAGGTTATACATAAACTCGTTTGAAAGGAGACAAGAGACATTATGGGTTAATAGAGGAGCAACGGGGTTTCGTAGAGTAGTCATGGGGTCAACAGAGGGAGAATAGTTGGAATGCATTACAACACGCGTTGGGAGTAGCATAGAATAGACAGAGGAGAACGGAGGTCTTTTTTGAATGAAACCTCGAGATCTATTTACGATGCTGACTAGCTCGGACTTATCCATTTGCTTTTTATTTCGACTCTGGTTTCACAGGAGCATCCCATCTGCTAAGTGAAGTCGAGAAACAGGGATTTAACCGAAATTGAAGAACGCATTTAAGAATACTCTGATAAAGCCTCAAGAGGACTATGTCGATGTATTTTTTCGTCATCTAGAACAGTGTGCGAGTGTATGGACGCCGCAACAGTTCTATGCTCCGTACACATCACTCATACAAGCCAGCGGTACTGACTATTAAGAGAATTAGCATTTGAAAAGACGTCTTTGTGGTATACATTTGTTTGCGTGATTCAGAATCAAGGGGCTACCCAAAGCGTTCCATCATTGTTGATGTACTCACTGGACAAGCTTTTTCGGAAGCTCATTATCTTACTTTCTTATCGGCTTTGTTTGGTGTATGTTCAGAATTCTTCGATCAACAACTTCGTAAAAATGCGGAAAATATATGTGGCCACATTTTTATCAGTGACAAAAATGACGAAATATTCGAGTTGCAAACCACATTTTGGAATAATGTGTTGGAAAGCTGCTATAAAAACCTCATGATTACTTTGAAAAACCTGAGCAACCCCTCTTCATTTAAAATGTTGTTAGCACTTGATGAAGCTGGTGTATTGATTGACAGAAAGAATAGCAAAGGTAATTTTTATCACTTACAGAGGGCACTACAGGCTATTCCACATGGGGGTGATGCCTGTTTTATGGCACTTTTCACAGATATACTCTCAAGAGTCTCGAATTTCTCTCCTGCCAAATGCCATGATCCATCCACCAGAGTCAGTGATGGAGAGAGACTGTACAAACCATTTTACCTTCTCAACATATTTGACTGCCACAGTAAATATTACAATTTCATCATCAATAGCTCAAATTTGCAATATGGGATGACCTCTTACTCTTTGGGCAGATGTTGATAAAGGAGCTATTATAGAATATGCCATGGAGAAAATCCTCTGTGACAGAAAAAAAGGAAGTGGAGCATAAAGTGGTTATTGAAAAAGTAACAGTAACACTAGTGATTCTTGGACCACAGTTCTATTTAGAAATCTCAAACCTTCACAGCAAGCATCTGAGTTAGTCAGTAGCCATATGAGAATCTTGTGCCATGTTGATGAGACTATTAGTATATATACATGTTATTATTATGCTTTATTGTTGAAAGTACACCTTTAGCATTCAATCACAGGTGTAGACAAATAAAGAATGCAAAACTCCATGTCATAGTCAATGAGACACAGGAATCCCTTGCCACTACATCTCCCAGTGAACCCATGTTAGTATTAGCCAAGGCTGCAAGCATGTAATAAACTGTTCTGGGATTCTTGTGCAAGTTTTGGACCACTTAGTCAGCTCAATCAGGAACCACATTGTTGTCAATGCAGGTGATCAGGATGAACTTGTCAGCAGGATCCTGTGTCTTCTGGCAATTGACAAAGCAATTTGGTTGAGATCCAAGCAATCAGAATCCAAACATATATACTCACAACTTATCACAATACAGGAATGCACTTGTTGGTTCAGAGTCATGCAAAAGCCTTATACTTAATCTGATTTTCACTAAAAAAGTGGCATAATGCTTTGCAATAGTAATAGCAAGGTCAGGTTTAGTCATTTCACATATTTTGAGTTCACTCCTACAAGGCTAGCAGCAGGGATAGTGGACACACCAAATTACACCTTGATTTGGGCACTTATACTTAATTTCCACAATTGGAGGTAAAATTGACCACTTAGTATTAGTATCCCCTCTCTCTCAGAGGGCCTTAGTTTCACATCTCACGGGACATATGTTACTGTACTGGTAAGACAATTGGATACCAGTCTCTAGTAATGGCAATCCCAATAATGACCAACTGCTTTTTATTTGTGTTGTCAATTTTATTATATTACATGTAAGCAATGATTACATCATTAATCGAGTTTTTGACTACAATTGTGTTGTCATCCTGAGCTTACGGGAATAGAACTGCATTATGTAGTAACCCCAGGATGATTCTTACAAGTTCCAGGAGCATAAGCAGCAGGTTTATCAGACTTTGCATAGTATGCGTTTTTAGATTTCCAGTGTTCATAGCATCCTTCAGGGTGACAACAACCACAACTAGATAATTACATATATATTTTTCTGCAGTACCGCCTGGCATGATACCAAATATTTTTATTTAAACAAAAAGTTTAGCAACTTACTCAAATAATTCAAACAGTCAAGGAATAGTTGTACATGTTGGGATAGTATAATGTTAATGCAACCGCTCTTGGAGCGGGAAATGTAGGTTCAAATCCTGCTCCCGAGCGCCGTCAGCGTGGCGGGACTGCGGCCCCCTTTGTCAGTGCTACACTCAGTACCACACTCAGTACCCTACCTTTCAGTACATCTGTGCCACACTTAGTATTAGTATCCCCCCTCAGTACCCTCTTTCTCAGAGGGCCTTAGTTTCACACCTCACGGGACATATGTTACTGTACTGGTAAGACAATTGGATATCAGTATCTAGTAATGGCAATCCCAATAATAACCACCCGCTTTTATATTAAGCGACAATAACTTTTCAAGTTTTTGACTACGATGATTTTGCCATCCTGAGCTTTCGGGAATAGAACTGCATTATTATGTAGTAGATGCGTTTTTTAGATTTCCAAATATTTTTATTTAAACAAAAAGTTTAGCAACTTACTCAAATAATTCGAAAAGTCAAGGAATAGTTGTACATGTCGGGATAGTATAATGTTAATGCAACCGCTCTTATGAGCGGGAAATGTAGGTTCAAATCCTGCT